TCACCGCCAGAGGTTCGAAGGCGTTTTCGTTGTCCAAGCTGTATCGCACGCTAGTGTCGTACCAGTTGCCCCATCATTTTTGTTTTTTCCGAGATGCACCGATGCTGTTTCATGCAGCGCTGTCGCAACCCCCCCAGCCGCTCGCCCTTCCGCCCTTCCCCATTCACCAGGCGTACTCGCATCGTACTTATTTCCTGCCTTTCGCCGACGTCATTATCTCTCTCATGAACTCAGTAACCATCATCTCAGCAGATGCGATAGCAGATTGTTGCATTATGATGCAGCACGTGATTGCTGATTCGCTTATTTTTCGTAGCAGATAGGCGCGCATTTGACTCAGCGAATAATTGTTTCAAGCTCGGGGTTAGACGGATTCGGAAGTCTATATAATAATGAACTTGTCTCTCGCTACAAGACGATCGATATGAAATATTCGATCGAAACTTGAAAGTGACCTCTAATATACCCCGGCTTCACCCTCTCTCTGCGCGCCGCAACGATCAGATGGGTTGCACGAAGGCTGACTTGGATTCCTGCGTGGCGATCCACCCCACGGCCTCCGAAGAGCTGGTCACCCTCGCCCCTTGGGGTCTCGAAAACGGGAAGCGAAGCGGGGTGTGAGGGCGGCGGGGACGGGCTGCAGTCCGTTCGTTCGCGGCCTTCTCGTCGTTGACCCGGCTGCCGCTTGTTGGTGTTCTTGCAAGTGATTTGTGCTTGCCACTGCAGCTGGTTGACGGACTGACCGCACTCCGCGGCCTGATCGGTTGTTGTTGTTGTTGGTTGAAGTGGTGGTACTGAAGTTGAGCCTTTCTGCAACGACTTTGCTGCGGTCGCTGCGCAGCAGTCTTCACAGTCTCGCCGCGTTATGGCTGCTTTGTGCAGGATTCACTCGTTTTGAGTTGATTCGCCCTGAATGAATTAGTATAGAACAGATGTGTAGCGATTGAAATGACACGATTGGTGCAGGATTCTCTCTCTTTGTGGGTCTAGTCCCTGAGGAATAGTCTCGACCTAATAGCGACTGTGGTACAATTCTCGCGTGTCTCTATCCTATCTACACACTTTTCTTCCCAGAGCGTCCTGCTCTTGGTGATGTTTGGCTGGGCTTCCCCCGTGCACCTTGCTGCTGCTGCAGCGCTGTTGGCGTGGCCCCCGCGTTGGGGAGCGAGCCAGGAGGAGGAGACATGGTGCATTGCTCCAGTGGTGCCGGTGGCGCGTCGATCGCGCCTACTCCTTGTGCTCTGCTGCTTCCGTTGTGCTCCTGAAGGTGGAATGGAGGTCCGCGACAGTCACAGCAACAACCGCCCATGATTTTATGTTGCCTGTTATTGGGGCGCACAAGGGAGATGGGTGTTGACGAAAACGCTGCAAAAATACGTCGGGGTAGCTCGCAGCACATTGCCGAGCCCCGCTGAGTGTAGGGCAAACTACGTACATGTGCCTTACTAATTCTTTATAAGTCGAAGGTTGGGGTTTTTGTCGCGTCCAGTATCCGAGATCCCGGGATTTGTAGGGCCTACAGGGACCCCAAATACCTGGTGAAAACAAAAAGAAAAACAGCCATGCAGTGTTTCTCGTCTTGGCCCCGCTCATTGTTGGTGGATTGTCGGTTGGGCCATTTGCTATCGGATGCTACGCAACAAACCGGGTCTCTTGTAGCTAGTCTCTTGGCTTCGTATCTGGAACTACTGTACATACATACCTCGTCAAGTCCTGCAAATAATAAGGGCTGCCTCTGATGAAACCGTTGTCAAGAGATGGACCATAGATCAACATCCGTCTGCTGTTGCGTAGGCATAAAAGCAGGCACGGGGTTGGTTGGTTCTTGCAACCGCCCGGTTCTAGTCTTGGTCATATCCATCCACAGGATGGGTTATCCCCCCGATGAGTATTCTTTCCTGGTACAGTTGAGGCCCGCACTTAAGAATATTGTTCTAAAAAAAAGCAAAAATTAAGAATTTGCCGGTAAGAACACGTGCTCAGATTGCACGTGCAGTTAAGAATAAGAACGCACGCCTGAGGTGTACCACTGCTGCAAAAGATAAGAACAAGAGCACTTTCAGCAGTTGCGAGATAAGAACATTCGAACGGGGAGGGGGGGACGGGTGGGGGGGTGATCCAAGTATTGGATTTGGCCGGGGGGTAGGTGTGCCGAAAAGGTGGGTGCATACACACACCTCGGTATCTGCAATTTTTGCAGGGGAGAGGGTGGACACTGTACACGTCGCGCCCCCTTGGTGACTGCGAGGCCACGCACGTGCAGCGGGCCACGAGTTGCCTGCCGTACCGCGGGATCATGTCCCTGTCCAATCCCTTATCCCAGGGGTTGTCGAAAGATCTTGGCAAACTTGCAGAGTTGAAAGGACGGGGTCTGATTCTTGACCGTCACTTCGAGACGATAAAAACACATGTGAAGGCGGGACACTCTGTTGCGAAGGAGCGGTGGGACGCCATCGAGAGCGCGTGGGGGTTGAAGCAGAACGGTATCTTCGACGAAGGAGATCGCGCAGATTGATGGTGAAATCCAGGGCATTACCAGCAGCACCCGCCTGTCCTTGTCATCCCAACAAGATGCCAGCAGCGCACGAGGTGCTGCTGCACCTTCTCAGCACACACCTGCTGCTGCAGCGGGTACCGCGAGGAGGAACGTGGATCGAGGGAAGCACGCCAGGGAGAGAGCTACGAAAGGCACTTTAGGCGGCAGCATCTGCAACGCGTTCTCGATTGGCAGCGGACAACCGGTGAGTTCGGTTACACATGTATCCGACGCACGCTGTTGCTATGTTTTGCTACATAGATGTTTTTTTTTTTATTCCCGATAGTCTAGACTAGTCTAGACAAAGCAAGAGAAAAACTGAAAAAAAAAGGTAAGTTTGCTAGTCTAATGTGACCCAAACGAAACAGACGGCATCTCCCCACTCTCTCGTGTGATTCACGATAATATTTTCAAGGAGGTATTCGTTCAGAGTGCATAGATACTTTTGCCAGCAGCATCCACGAAAGTTCGAATTCAACAGCGCCACAACTAAGAGCAACTGAAACGTCACATGGCTCATTGAATCCCCTACACGGCGATTCCGCCCTTTCNCAAGGCCTTGGGATCCACGTGAGAACGCAGCACAGCAGTGCAAACATGTCCAACGGCGTGCGGCTGCGGCGGATGCTACGGAAGAATCTCGAAGGGCATGTCCTGCCGTGGGAAAAAGCCGGGCCTGGGCGTTGTTGGCACGTGAAGANGAGTTCGTATCCGGTATCAGCTTCCCGCCTGCGGCCCCGGAGTCCCGCCGGTCCTGCCCTCACTGTCCCATGACCTTCGTGAAAGAGCAAACGGCCTTGAGACCCACGTGAGAACGCAGCACAGCAGTGCAAACATGTCCAACGGCGTGCGGCTGCGGCGGATGCTACGGAAGAATCTCGAAGGGCATGTCCTGCCGTGGGAAAAAGCCGGGCCTGGGCGTTGTTGGCACGTGAAGATCGATGATGCGACAGGGGCGGCTTCGTTTGTCCTCCAGCGGAAGCGCTTTCTCGATCTAGACTTGGAAAGCGACGGCTTTATGGACCGCGAGACCAAGGAGACTCGTGGAGCTCCCAAGCGCAGGCGATACGACCTTAGTCTACGTTCAAAGCCAATGCTGCAAACCAGCTGCGCATCCTCGAGGACAACGCCGCGGACCTCTGGAAGGAGGAGGAGCGCACGCCTCTTCAGTACTTAGAGGATCGTCTCAAGGTTCACTAGACTTCAGCAACATCGTGAAGTGGGCCAAGGACGAGAAGGCCATAGTCGCGGCGGCAGCAGANACTATAGGTTCAAAGCCAATGCTGTCAACCAGCTGCGCATCCTCGAGGACAACGCCGCGGACCTCTGGAAGGAGGAGGAGCGCACGCCTCTTCAGTACTTAGAGGATCGTCTCAAGGTTCACTAGACTTCAGCAACATCGTGAAGTGGGCCAAGGACGAGAAGGCCATAGTCGCGGCGGCAGCAGACGACGTGAAGAAGAGCCTCCTCGCCAAGCAGCAGCCTACGTGGTGGTTTCCTGAGGCAGAAAAGGGGCTTTACAAGATGTTCGTGGAGCGGCGTAAGAGGAAGCTGAAGGTCTCGACCTTGTGGCTGACGATCACGTTCCGGAAGCTCGTGCGAGAGGTGTATCCCGGGGACCAACGGGCGGCGGCGTTCCGCGCATCCTTCAGGTGGGCACGAAAATGGGCCAAGAGGCACAACCTGTCCAAAAAACGTCGGACCAACCTCAAGAACAAGTCTGTTGAGGAACGCCTACCAAAGATCCAGCGCTTCCACCGACTGTGTCGCAAGCTCTTGCAAGAGCCGGTCGGTACAGGGCGCCCGATGAGTCGGACGTATCGGCGATTACGACGGTCGCAGAGAGGGAGTCCAGAGTATCCAAGTGTGGCCAATTCCAGCTCTGGGAGCATTGGAATGTGGATCAAGTGCCTTTGGCATTCGAAAACGGGCTGCTCGATACGTGGGAGGAGCGAGGTGCGAAGCGTGTCGCCATCTCACAGCCCTTTCCTGGTCTAGAGAAAAGGCAGTGCACCATGCAAATCATCTTTGGTTCGGGTGAGAAGACCTTGCGATTTTCGGTGATTTTCCGAGGCACGGGGAAGCGGACTCGCCGGTGAAANGAGTCGGACGTATCGGCGATTACGACGGTCGCAGAGAGGGAGTCCAGAGTATCCAAGTATGGCCAATTCCAGCTCTGGGAGCGTTGGAATGTGGATCAAGTGCCTTTGGCATTCGAAAACGGGCTGCTCGATACGTGGGAGGAGCGAGGTGCGAAGCGTGTCGCCATCTCACAGCCCTTTCCTGGTCTAGAGAAAAGGCAGTGCACCATGCAAATCATCTTTGGTTCGGGTGAGAAGACCTTGCGATTTTCGGTGATTTTCCGAGGCACGGGGAAGCGGACTCGCCGGTGAAAAAGGCCGCGTACCACAAGGACGTGGACGTGTTTTTCCAGGAGAATGCTTGGGCCGACCAAAAGTTCTGTATGGAGTGGGCTAAGGGGTCCTATCGCGAAGGCCTGATGCGCGGGCGGGGTGAGCTTCGCAACGCGAGGTCCATTCTTATCATGGACAACTTGCACGCGCAGACGACGGACGAGTTCAAGGAGTATCTTGCGAAGGAGTGCAACACTCTCGCCTGGTATGGCCCTTCGGAGTGCACGGACGAGGTGCAGCCAGTTGATGCAGGAGCTGGACGATTTATCAAGGTGGAAGCTGGGAGGCAGATGGACATATGGCTCGAGCAGTCAGACAACCTCGAGAGGTGGGAAACCGCGGCGCTGACAGCTTCTGGTCGGCGGGTACTGATCACTGAGTGGATTGGAGCGGCCAACAGCAAGACTCAACAGCCAACAGGCGTTCCGATTCCGCCTTTTCGAAAAGTGCGGGATGGCCATGACTGTGGACGGCTCAGGCGATGATCGGATCACCTTGGAGGGTTTGGACAAGCCGTACACCTTCGCAAACGATGAAGACTGTAGCGAGGACTAAGAAGGTTTGGAGAGCGGCAGCGATGAGCCTGAGGGGCGGGGGAAGGAGGGCGATGAACGTGAGACGGTCGTGGAGGGCGCTGATTCCAGCGATGATGAAGACGACGGCGGAAAGTTTGATCTGCACTAGACCCAAACTTTGTCATTTCCTTGTTGATGACGATGTCCATGTTGATATTTGCTTGGATTTTGCTGATTTGCTCTTTCTGCGTTCACGACTACGAGCAAATATGATGGGTTCATGTTGAGTTTCGGCCGTGACACCGTACTTCTTGTGGTGTTTCACGGTGCCCCGTTCGCAGGCCCGTCTCAAACCCAGACCGACNTCCTTGTTGATGACGATGTCCATGTTGATATTTGCTTGGATTTTGCTGATTTGCTCTTTCTGCGTTCACGACTACGAGCAAATATGATGGGTTCATGTTGAGTTTCGGCCGTGACACCGTACTTCTTGTGGTGTTTCACGGTGCCCCGTTCGCAGGCCCGTCTCAAACCCAGACCGACGAGCTAGCTCTTCTCGACGACGACGACAGCATGGACCCACAAGACCCGGAGGGCGAGACACAAGGAATGGAGATCCCGACAGGCTTTCGCATTCAAGAAGTTAAACCCGTTGCTCTTGACAGGTTGCTTTAGCGACGTGGAGTGCTCGTTAGGCTGGGGATGGGGTGGTTTGGAGGGTTGATCATTCAGCAATCTCAGCAGGACACTCGCCACTTGCACGAGTACTGTGTGCAGCTGGAGCTAGACCAGAGTACGCGCAAGATGAAGCTGCCCTTAGACAAGTACACCGGAGATCTGGATGCGGCGGTAGCCTCCTGGGTTTTGCTTGAGAGCGTTAGTAGATCGGGGAGGGTACGCAGGACCAACGTCACCCTTGTGGACCAAGATGGTTGACAGTTGCTGCTGCATGCCTTGGTGTGTTCTTGTACCAAACAACAGCAGTGTTCCTCATGATCAACACTATAAACACTCCGCCGAGTGCAGTTGACAGCCGCCAACAAAGTACGTCGTCATACACAGTACGCCAACAGGGCCAATTGGTGTTGAAATATGAACAAGAACGTTTCGCTGGGGAAAAATGGAACGGCGAAATAAGAACATGGCCAATAAGAACATGTGCTCGGGTTGGGGCAGCCAATAAGAACTGAGCCTCGCTCAAAATAGGAGATTTTTAAGTGCGGGTCTCAACTGTATTTGATGGAAGTGTTGATGGGGATGGGCGTGGTGACTAATGACTGTAGTGAGTGACAACGTCCTCTCTGCCTTGGGCTCTCGGATCACCTCTCTCCGCATGGTCTTCGAGTATTTCGACATGATGACTATGGTAGTAGATGGAACAAGGGCGGCGTATAAAAGGATCCACGGAATCGCTGATAGGGTGAGTAACGGCCTACTACTCGCCCCCACAAATAAACGGAACATGAGCCCCGGGCGGTCGGTTTGACGCACGGAACCTTAAAGCTAGGCGTTTGCGTATCGGACGAATGTCGAATTTGAAGATGCTGAGCGAGACCGGAATGAATATCAATGTGGAGGCAGCTGATAGATAAAGGCTTACCCATTAGACTACCGAGTCAGCGCTGACTAAGTAGTCTAATGGGTGAGCCTTTGTCAATCAA